AGAAAGAAAGATAGATAGATAGATAGATAGATAGATAGATAGATAGATAGATAGATAGATAGATAGATAGATAGATAGAAATAGAAATATATAGATCTATATAGATATATACACAGTATAGAAAAAGGACCCAGAAAAAGTATGGGGTTCTAGTACCTTGAGAATAGTTTAGAAATTCTGTCAAATTCAGGATTCTGGTTGGGAAAAATAGAACAGCTGAAATAGGATAGATAATGAAAACTGCCAGTATACAATAAAATTAAATCCCACAACCAGAATTCTAGTAAAATTTAAAAATCTATCAAAGCCCTACAAACATTTGTCAGTATATTTTAAATATCAATAGAAACAGTGCATAATGCCAGTTTTCATGTTGTTAAACAATATAACCACAGCTACTGTTAGTTTATATGAAACAGCTGGCTAGTGTGTATGTGTACAACTATAGATAAAAATAAAATCTGTTCTGGAGTTTATCTTCAGAGATGAGAACTGCCAAAGTTATATTGCTCTTTCCCACAACTGCCATGTGCTTCAAAAAAGTATTCTGGCAAGTTTATTACTGGAAAAGAGAGAAAGGAAGTAAAGATGGTAAACCTGCAACAATCCAGATGTTGCCAAGTTATATACACCAGCAGTTCCAAGCCAAATGATCAATGCTCTTCCTCGTTTCAAGGCTGAGCTTTCCCAAGATAACACTTTATACTGAAAACAAATTGTATTCAAAGAGCAGCTGAACTACCTGATCAAAGACACACCGTTCAGTTTATGAATTAAATGAAAATTGTTGAAATGGCAACTTTAATACACTATATGAGATAAATGTTGAAGTTCTGAAAATTAGAATTGAAAGTTGAAAGGGACCTGATCTTAGGTATAAAAGATTTATGGTGTTCAGGTAAACCCCACATTCTCTTTAGTTATAGCAGAAACTACAACATTATCTTCTGTGGCTCAAAAGAGTAACAGGAATGTTCAGCAAGATAAAAATTCTTGGGGTTTTCTGTTCTGTGGTCAGGAAAGCAGAATAAGTTGTTTCAAATTCTTGGATGCAGAGATGCAAATCTTATATAGGCAAGGTACCCAGGCCTGGCTATGATAACATTAGGACCATAAATACTGAAATATTTGACTAGGACACATTTAATCCACCTCCATTAAAGCAACAGAAGTGGGGAGGAGGGGTTGTTATGTTTCCTGGGAACAAACATTAAGATACCTTAATCGTTTGAGAAACTCAACATCTGAGTTACAGTTAATAAGCTTGATGAACTCTTCGTAAGAAGGAGCATATGTATAAGCTCTCTTGTGATGCTCAATCAGCTGTTCTCTGTATTCCATCTGGACAAGCAGCATGTGGTTGATGTAGTTTGGATCACTCAATAGCTCTACCATTGGTTTCAGTACTAAAATTAATAAAAACAAAACAAGAGGTAAATATGCATTAGGTAGAATAAATTCTTTTAATAAGAAAATATTTAAAACATTCAAGTCAATTCTATTCAATACTCAGAAACTGCCAGTATTCCATGATGATTGTTCATAGAAGTTAGAACTGGACTATAGCCTTTATTGAAACAGAAAAAATAGAGTTCACAACACTTTTAAAAATTGTGATCACAGATTGTGATTTGAAAATCAATTTACTATAATATTGCTAATATCTTCTTGTAAACATCACCCTACAACATTGGAAAACTGGTGCTATTAGCTTTAAATCAGTTGATTGATCAATTAAAGCGTTCGAAGAAAAAATGGCTAAGAACGAATTTCAAATTAGCTAGGCAACCAATTAATGTCATCCAGCATTTAACTACCATATTTTTCGGAATATAAGACACACCTTTTTCCCTCAAAAAAGAGGCTGAAAATCTGGGTGCGTCTTATATCCTGAATACAGCATTTTTTTGCCTCCCCAAACCCTGCCCCTTTCACCGAAATGGCTGTGCATAGCCTCTAGGAAGTTTTCAGAGTGCTCCTGGGGACTGGGGAAGGCAGAAATAAGCGAAAAATGGGCCAATGTTTGCTCAATTCCCCTCCCCCCTGCAGACCCCAGGAGCACTCTACAAGCCTCCTAAAGGCTATTCATGCCCTTTTTTTGACAAAAAATGGGCCCGTTTTCATGAAAAACAGGTGGTTTTTGGGAGGTCTGCAGAATGCAAAAACTTTTTTTTTATTTGCCTCTTCAAAATCTTGGTGCGTCTTATACTCCAAAAAATATGGTGATTGCTCAATTTGTACACTAACTTAAACAAGTTAAATAAAGGTATAGCAATTTGGATTGAGACTATCAAATAAACTCTTTATCTCACACCTTTTGCTGCAAGTATCTCTGCCAGGACTATACGCAAGCTTAAAGACTGAGCATCCTTTGAGGGCAGAAGACAATAGACCAGAGTCTGAGAGCATGCTTGCAGGAATTTTGCCTCTTCTTCAGAATTCCTCAAACAAGGATGCAGTAAAAATGGCCGTGGTTGTTCTTCCAATCTGTAAATGAGATAATAACACAGCAATCAGACTTCAATCATAATTATTTAGAACTACCAAGTCAGAGAAAAACATGTGAAAAACATTCCTTCTGTTGAATTGTGCATAATAAATTTTACAATGGCATATGGAATAATTGTTCGTTTCTCCACTACAATTCTTTGCCTTTTGCTTATTCTAAGGAAGACAGGAAGAGATTTCTAAACTAGTTCTAGTCATAACCAGGAAAACACAAAATCTTGTGTTGTTTCAGAATAATTACTATTTCTTATAAAATCCAAATCTGGGGTAACTGAGGTAAGGCTACTCTTTATTTTAAAAAGCCAATTTTAAAATGTGGCTCAGTGAAATAGCTTATTTTAAAAAGCACAATTAACATAACTTCAGAAGTATCATTATATTGTTTTTAATCCAAAAGAAAAGGTGAAGTTTCCAATTTCTTTGTACTACAGTATATTAATTTACTGCAATTCAGTAATGTCAGTGGTATTTATTACATTTATTCAAAACTTTTGCTTATATGGATTTAATTATAGTTAGACATAGGACATGAGGACGTTGCCCCTGAGGACATGGACAAGGCCATGAGAGCTGTAAGTGCCTCCACATGTGTACTGGACCCGTGCCCCTCCTGGCTGGTTGTTAACAGCAGGGAGGTGACGCGGAGCTGGATCCAGGCGGTTGTTACTGCCTCCCTTCGGGAGGGGGTCTTTCCCCTCGCTCTTAAGGCGGCGGTGGTGAGACCCCTCCT